AAAGAGCTATTCTTACACTTAAACCTAGGTACATATATGTATAAATAGAAGGTATTACAAGGTATTTTCCAAGAAAACAAACTAAATCATATTTCTATTCTTAGATATAACTCTTCACTTTTCTACTTTTTGAATTGTGGAAATATTAGATAAATGTAGAAGTAATCTGTGCAGCTAGGTAGACTGTGTTCTTTGTTTATCAAGGATTTTATTTTTCAGCTTCATCCTGAATGACTTCATACTCAGTTTTTTAACATTGTCATCTAAAGCATTATAAATATGTGGTAGTTGGTAGGAGAAAGATGCTTTAAATTTACTGGTGGAGTAGTGTGGGATGTTCACAGTAGTAAGATTCCTAATATTGAGGTTATGCAATTGATGACGAAATATTATTTTTTCATAAAGGTAATATGGACGTTTCTCGTTGATAATTTTATGGAGAGCAGTGTAGTGGCATGTAGAAGACGACGTTTTTTCATGCAAAGCCAGCCAAGAGATGAAATATATTCAGTGATATGATCAGATCTTCGCAAGCCCCAAATCAGTCTAGTGCAGTTATTTTGCATTTTTTGAATTCGATAACAGTCAAAGGAGTCGATACATGGACCATATACTATATCGCAAAATTAGATAAAACTAGTTGATCACACAGTTTCTTCTTTAAATCAAAAGACAGAAATTGTCGACTTGAGTACAGCAATTTAAGACACCCGCAAGCACGCGGAATAGATTTGCTGACGTGTTCCGAGAATTTCAAATTAGAGTCAATAATTAAACCTAATTTTTGGTTGCTGATACTAGTGTTAAAGTGACACCTCCTATGACTATGTTGATATCATTCTTCACCCGATTAATTCGACATTCATTGCCAAATAATAAATAAGTGGATTTTGTGGGATTAATATGAAGATTATGTTGCTTAGAGAGGTTGATAATTCTTTGTAAATCCTTAGTAATATTCTTTTTACCAAGATTCTCAATGCAGCTCAATAGCTCACTTGTATTACATGTTTCATTTACCTTAGTCAGACGTGAGTTGTCTTGAGAACTTATTGAGACTATTTCTTTTCCCCTCACCCCAATTGAGCTTGCTATTCATCTGGTGATGTAGTGAGAAAGAGGTGAGACTGGATTAATTCTAGTAATTCTGTGGTTCTGTGCTGAAAATTGTGAGGTTATATTTTCATTTTGACATGTTTTCAGCTTTGAAGTTTCAGTCCACAGGCTGCATCCTTTGAATACTCACTACAATAATATTTCTATGCTGCTCATTAATTTCCTCAGCAATTTTTCATTTTGGTTGAATTATGTTGGGTTATGTTTTCTTCTCTTGCCCTTCCTGACAGATAAAACTCTGTTCTTTTTATTCAATCGACAACTCAGATCCGTCTCACCTCCTTCTAACTCAATTGATCTCAGTAGTGAGAATGTAACAAGGTAAAAAGAATATTGCTTTTGTTGACGAAATAGTTAGGCATCTTCGGGATAAAAACTATAATATAATTGGCTATCATCAGCATAGAAGTGGCTTCTACAATCTGAAAGGCAATTAGATAATTCAGCAGTATATATAAGGAATAAAAGTGGTCCCAGAATCGATCCCTGAGGTACACCATCATGTAATCTGAGTGATTGAGATTCGCTATTGTTATTTTTGACTATTTGACTTCTTCCACTCAGGTAACTTCGAAAGAAGTTTTGTGCTGTCAAGTTCAACCCATAATATTTCAGCTTAGAAAGTAGAAGTTGGTGGTTTAAAGTATCAAATGCTTTCGTGAAATCTAACATTACCAAGGCTGTAACTTTATGGTTATCCCATTCTCTGATAATATCATCACATATATTTAGCATTGCCGTGGCAGTGCTGTATCCCTCCCTGGACCCTGACTGCTGAAAAGGAATGATGAAATTTGAATTACAGTAATCGTAGAGTTGCTTGTACACGATTTTCTCTAAGACTTTGGATAGAATTGGGAGGATGCTGATAGGACGAAGATCTGAAAAACTATTAGGCTCGCCGTTTTTAGGAATAGGACGAATAAGTGCTATCTTCCAAGATGATGGAAAATAACCTTGCTCTAAGCAGAGGTTAACAATATGTGTGATTGGTAATAAAACTGCTGGCAAACAGTATGATATCATAGTCCGAGATATCGATACCAACAGCATCACTTTTGATATTATGAAAAATTTCTTTCACATCACTAACAGATGCAAATTTTAATTCGAAGTTCAGTGTATCATTAAATTTGACCGAATCATAGTGATTGATAAGTTCAGTGCAGTCTTCAAGTGACTTTCTGTGATACTAAACAGGCAGGAAAGGTGTACTTTCTCTGCCTAGACAGGAATAGTTTGTTTGCTAGGCAACGTTCCAATAAATTTGAATGAAATTGGTAATCAAAATTGACACTGACATTGGGTAAACAGGAAATGATGGAGTTTTCAATAAAAAAGTTACACAAAATTGGTTTTATAACATTTCTGGAGGAAAAATTATATGTTTCACACGGCAGTAATGTAGATTAACTGCCTATAGTAAAACAAAAATCTATTTTCTTCAAATCCGGCTAAATTTTCATATTGTGATGTTCACTAAGTGTAGTTCTGAGATTGCCATTCTTGATGAATCATCCTCTATATTCCTCAAACATAACGATAAAATTTCTCCATTTGGTTTCTTATAGTGAAATTTTGATCGCAGTAACATTTTGGAGCAAATCATCTGATTTGTCCTTATACAGTGTGACCCACTTCTAATGGAAACACCCCTGTATCTTACGTAATCGTTGGGTTAGGATCCTGAAATTTGCTGGAGCGAGAGATATACCTGGAATGCACTTTATGACCAAGTGGGGTCATCTTCAGTGATATACACTGCTCGCAAACAACCATGAAACTACCCCAATTTCCGGAAAATGATATTAGGAGTCAAAATAGGTCGAAAATGACTTCAGATTCGGAATCAGGACGCCCAATTTACTAACTATTCAAATTTTTCCTGAAAAATTTTCAGTTCTGAAAAATGAAATTTTGTCGCACTTTTTATGGAAGCACCCCCGTATCTTACGTAATTGACTATATTTCTGGACTTTCTCTTCCTCCTGCAAATTTCGGAACCCTATCTCAATAATTAAGTGAGATACGGGGGTTCTTCCATGAGAAGTGAGACAAAATTTAATTTTTCTGAACTGAAAATCTTCTAGGAAAACTTTGAATAGTTAGTAACTTGGGCGTCCTGATTCCGAATCCAAATTGATTTTCAACCTATTTTGACTCCTAATATCATTTTCCGGAAATTGGGGTGGTTTCATGGCTGTTGGCGAGCAGCGTATATCACTAAACATGACCCCACTTGGTCATAGAGTGCATTCTTGGTATATCTCTCGCTCCAGCAAATTTCAGGATCCTACCCCAACGATTACGTTAGATACAGGGGTGTTTCCATTAGAAGTGGGTCACACTGTATTACGAATGAGAATATTGAAATGATACTTTTTTTTTCTGTGATGGAAAGAAATTTGAAATTTCATCTCTGTTGACAGGTTATAAAATGTCAGTTCTCATAAATTACTTTTTTCCCACGGCAAACAAGTGAGTAAATTTTGTTGATTGATTTTGTTGTACTATAGTTCTAAATAAACCAATAACAACGTATCCGAGAAAGATCTGCAAGTCCTTTCACCTTCCATTCTTCTTCGCGGTTACGTGAATTACTAAAGAACCAATAAGTTCACAATTTTTCAGAATAAAATCACAGAATTAGACGGACAGAAATTCGATAACTTCGCAAGAACGATAAAGTAGCCTTCAAAAAGATGCCAGCAACGTAGGTGTAGTTCCTGTTAAAAACTTCTATGTCTTCCCAATATTTATTCGCCCTCTTTCCCGTCACAGAAAATGATAGTGTATTATACCCGGGAAAAATATTAGATCTTGGCTCACGATATCTAGAAGCGAGCTAAAATCTACTACTTGTTTTCCCTTGTTTAATAAATAACTATATTGATGGGGACAAGACGAAGAATCAAAGATACACTGATTACCATGTTCACTGATGAAAAATATCCCAAGCCATATCGCCGCTATTTATAATACGATTTTGATGAACAACAATTCCTTGGATTTCCTTGGAATTCCCTTAGATTCCTTGGAGTCTCTTGGAATTCCTTGTGTAAAGTGCGTGTAATTCTGGTCATTTAAAAAAAAATTAGAGCCAAACAACGTCGGATGACTTCTTTTGGCCCACCTCTGTTATATACAGTATTATATATTTCATTTTTACTTCATTATCCTCACTTTTTTGACCACAGAAAAACAATTTTCAAGTGTTGACTTCAACAGATATTTGACAGTTGTATATTGCATCATCATCGAATACATTCCCAAACTGATCGATTGATCACCAATTGATCAGACAAAAATTGTTTTTCTTTATATATTTGCGTGAACACAAAAATTCACAGATTCAGGAAAAATATAAAACAGAGGGTGTTCCATAATGATCTGTGGCTTATCAGGCTCTTAGGTATCACCTCGGGGATCACCCTGTAAAATGTCTGATAAGGGCTGTGGAAAGACCCAATTACGGCATTCGACTTCCGCATATTGTTTTTATCCTCGATGAGAAAATACCGTGAATATAGCCTTTTCGATGGATAACCCTGTACATTGAAATTTTACAAAAATAATAGCGACGCTATAGGCGCTATGACTTGGAGCGATTTTCATAAATCAACCGTCTCTCAACCTATAGATATATCATCAAATCAATTAATTATTCCGAAAGATTAGTTGAGTGGAATAGAAATATTGTCTCCTCTTTCATTAGATTAAGTACATCGTTTTTTGAGGTAGGTTCAGGTAGAGTTCCTTATTAATGTACTTGACACTTGTATATTTAAAAAACGTCAAAACAGTCAAGTACCTATATTAAGGAACTGTAGGGTTCAGGTACGTACCTATAAAAAGTTTGAAAAATCAACAAAATAAAGACTCACCAAATAAGAACTGCTTCACAATTTTTCGGAACAAAAACAGACGAGACATTTGGAAACGAAGAGAATTTTCAAAATTAAAAATCACTTCACAATAGATTTATCACGAAAAATTATAGTGGAGAATATTTTTAATCAATAAACAATCATCATAGATTAAAAGTTTAACATAGTATTGACGTAATATGGGATAATCATTGGATACTGATCACTTGTTGAAAAGTTCGGCGAAATGTGAGGTCTAGTCGCGGACTACGGTTCCACAGCCTGCTGTATAGCAATAATACCGTCCAGGGCCGCACTAGGCATAAAAACTGGGTATTTCCGATCGTACCACTAACATCAAACTCATTTCGACTCGAAATACGGGCACAGAATATCTCCAGCTAAAGCAGAAGCAGAAGAGCTATTTTCCTAGATTCCATTTTTTTCAGTTTTCAGGTATACCTTACTTATTATTCTTCTCAAACTTCCACTGATTGTCTTGTTCTTCAAACCATCATCTGAAAGCTGACGAATGCGAAATCCAAATATTTCTAGAGTTATCCTCCTTGTTTTGATGTTATATGATAAATGATTGTGAATTAGAGCTAAGCCAGGGCCTACTCTGGCTAAGCTGATTGCATGAACTGTGCGGGACACGAATTTGGTCAAATTAGTGCATATACTAGCGACTAGCGTATATAACACATATCTTATGAAATGAGCCGAAAATTCGTAATCAGCTAAAAGAAAACAGCAAAGAAAGAATTGGAAGGAGATATTATACCAATGTGCCCAGAAGTGTAATTGGTCAACGCACGAGTCAGCCCACAATTCAGACATGGAATCCTGCTCTAGTCCAATCATTTGGTAGTTTGGACAGGAAAAAAATTGCTGAAGATTTTTTCTCAACGGATCCATATGATTTTTCGGTTGCTGAATCTGAAAATTGAGTTATCGACTAGATTCGGATATGGCTTAACCATGAAAATGGTGGAAAATTTTGAAAAATCGGGAGTTGTCTCAGTTTTTCGCTCATAACTCCGAAACGACTTGATATAGAGAAAAATTAGTGCAGAAAATGGAAGCCAATGAAATTCACAAAAAAATAAGATAAAAATCAGCTCGCTAACTCATCTGATTCAGCCGCTAGAGCGCTCTGAAGATTGACCATAGTTTTCAAGTTATTCAAAATATTCGTATTTCAGGCTTTCAAAGCCAACAGTCTGTCCACGGACTCTACGCCCATCGTTGATTGGGTCTGAAGTCAAAATTGAATCCATAATATAGGTATGCTTGTAAAAGACACTCATGAATGTACGGATAAAAATAAATAGACAATCATCCAAAAATTCATTTAGTGCAGTTGATGCAGTAAAAGGTCGATTGCGGGAGGTTCATTTCTTTCGTGTTTTTTCATATATGTGAACGATTGATTACTTTCTTCTCGTCGTCATAGTCGGAATACATCTGACTGTTGCTGCGAATAGCCCTCTCAGCGTTTGCAAATTTTGAAACACAACAACCCGGCCTTTTTGCAGCCTCAGTCTCGTTTACAATACAGCTTATCTGGTGCACACGGTTGTATGGTTGTTTGTGGCATCAATCCGTTGTTTGTCAAGTACCATATCCTCAGAGCAGAGGGTTGTTCCAAAAGGATAGAAAATAGTACTAGACAAATTTTAATTTTTGTGCTAGATTCAGGATGGAGCGTAATTGATGTATATTTGTGATTTGGAGGAAAATTGAAAATGAAGGCATTAAATGAATGTTGAGGAAGGAGGTTCAGGATACTACATGGTGAGACATACTATATAGTATGTATACTAATTCAAAATCTAAAATACGAATATTTTGGACAACATTAAAACTATTGTCAATTTTCAGGGCTCTCTAGCGGCTGAATCAAACAATATATCGAGCCGATCCTAATCTTGTGTTATAGTAAATTTTATAAGCTTCAATTTTTGTATGCTGCGTTTTTTCTCTAAATCACGTTGTTTCGGAGTTATAAGCAAAAAATCAAAATAAGTCCACAATTTTCATGGTTTATTGCGATTTTTGTGATGGAGCCTTACTCGGATCTAGTCGATAACTAGTTTTTGAGATTCAGCACCACAAAAACCATATAGATCCGACCAGAAAAATTCTTTAGCAATGTTTTCCTGAATCCAGTGCTTTCCGTCACCAAATGACTGGATATCTACGTCTTAAAATATCTAGGTATTTATCAGCATCCAATGGTCAAATATTTGTGAAACTAGAATGCCATTTCGAAATATTACTGATATACCGGGTGTCCCAGCTCTACTTATACACGCAATTTCTCGACAACGGGTGACAGTGTCGAGTGTCACCGTGACACTATCAACGTTCTGCACAAAAATTAGGCACCAAAACTACCCCTCGATAAACAACCCGTCAGCACACACAACTAACTTTTTTCTTCAAAATACACTGTCCTATTCTCGTGATATGTGCGAGTAGCTTTTTGGCTTATGAATACAATGATATGCATGACATATCGCACTTTCCATGAATACGCCCTAGATAATGTCAAATCAACAACTTAATAACATATCATATGATGAGGAATTTCGTCCACGATTATCATGAATCTGAAGGCGAAATCAGACGACTGATGTAAGAAAGAAAGAAAGAAACTGTATTCACTACTAGAGACTACAATGTCCCTTACGAAGAAATTTATCAAGAGAGAGACAAGTAAGAAAAACACTGGTTGGTCTCAGCACCTTGTCAAAAGAGTGTAAAAAAAGGAACAATACCTATACGAAGACAATACTCGACATAAAAACATGTACAATATCTCATTATGAAATATGCAAATATATACAGACATGTATGGAAAATACAAAGTAATAACAAATTAAAAATATACAGATGTACAGTTCACAGACATGTTAGATTGGGAAATCCACAAAATAAATTAAACATTTACATACAGAAAAAAAAACATTTCAGGAAATCTCAGGTTCACAGAAGTTTTTTACTCTCAGTAAACTCTCCTGTCTAAGTATTCATCTACTGTACCTATAAGGCTCTCAATCAATCAGAAAGATCTTCAATGACTTCATGAACTTGCCAATGTGCCCAGCAATAGCTTTTAGTTCTTCGGGCAGATGGTTGAAGAATTTTAGTGCACTATAAGTTGTACCTTTCTCCGTAGATACTCTATCATGTATAGGGAAGTCATAATCACCTTTATGTCTTGTGTAATGGAAATGGCTTTTTCTATAAGGCTCAAAGTATTGTATGTAAGAATCCCCCGACAAACCACCCCTTTGCACACACCCCCTTTTCTTAAAATCACATCCTCTCATTCTTTTGGTATCTTCAAATTGCTCATGAGCTTATGAACACAGTAATATACAGGGTGTTAACGAGTAAGTGTCACAACGGAAAACTGTAGATTCCTCATAATGAAAGAAACATGTCTTTCCTCTTCAAAATTTTCCTCCGGGCTTCCGTTTTCAAGATACAGGGCGTAAAAAAATCAAAAATGTTCAGTTTAATTAAACACACTTTACAACGCTTAATAAACTCAACAATTTGGAAACCAGTATCGAGACCAGCATACTCAAGAACCTGACATTTGATTGAACCTATTCTCAGACAGTTCTGAGGTGTTTATTTCCAGTGGATTTTCAGACGATTTTTGGAGATACCATCAGGATTTTGTGTGTTCATATTCATAAAGAGCCATTTTTCTCGGAAACTGTTCACTTTAGAGTATTGAGACAGGAGGACGCTTTTGTGTGAAAGATATTGGCGCTTCAGAATCAACTTCGAAAATTACAATTTCTCCAGTGGCATAAATGTTTGGGGGGTTAAACCCTCAAGAGGCGTTGAATTCTCCTCCACTGGCATGTTCAAGGAAATTGATCAAGAGCCCTAAAAGTAGTCATTATTGATGATGAAGTGTGTACGAAGGCTTAACTCCGTAGCTCAAACGGTTCCTGAGATAGTAGCAAAAAACAGATTTTTTTGTATTTTTTCGACGCCCTGTATCTTGATAACGGAAGCCCTGAGAAAATTTTCGAAAAGGAACAAAATGTTTCTTTTGTCATGAGCAATCTACAGTTTTACGTTGTGACACTTATTTGTTAACACCCTGTATTACACTTGACATAATTTTTCATCGTAAAAGGTACGAAAGAGAAGGGGACGTAATAGGCATTTTTCAACGAGTATTTATTTGATTTTGTTGCAAAGACCACATAATTATTGGAGATCGGAATCAAACATCAGGATGTTCGAAGTGGCCTAGTGGCCACCATTTCACTATACTGACACAGTTCACACCTTCGCAGAACATCCCTTGTACAAGCTGCTGTTATTGCCTGCCGTGATATTTCGTGGCATGCTCGAATTATGTTGCTTTGTAGCTCAGCAATATTGTAAGGCTTCGCACAGGGCCTACACTTCTTGTTTTGAATGATCCCACAGGAGAAAACCTGAGAGGAATGAATCGGGGGATCGTGCTGGCCATCGATGGCCAATATTCCCAATCAAGTTTTTCCCAATCTGGTTATTCCGATGTTTAGTACATCAGTCGTCTGATTCCGTCTCTAGATTTATGATAATGATGGACGAAATTAATTCTATGGCATGCTATTAAGTTGTTGATTGACATCATCTATAGGGCGTATTCATGGAGAGTGTGATACATCATTGTGTTCGTAAGCTAATGAGTTACTCAAACATATAGCACAATAATAGGGGGGTGCAATTTGAAAAAAATTTAGTGGCTTGTGCTAATGGGTGATTTGTCGAGGGGTAGTTTTAATGACTAATTTTTGTGCACACAAGCACTTTCTCATTGAAGTCAAATGCTTCAGAACATTGACATATAGCATTACCCGTTTTCGAGAAAATGCGTGTATAACTAGAGCTGGATCACCCGATATATAGAATGTTTCTATTATTTTGAATGCCCATACTTTAGACTTTAGAGCGAGCTTTAGAGTAAGTCGAAAGAGTGTTCACCCAAAATTTATACAAATAATTTTTTCTCCACCACTACTCATTCTCAAGGTGTGAAGTTTTTTTTACTACCAAGGTAGCTTTTGTCAGTTTATGAACAACTAGTCAATAAAGACATAGCCACCTCTGATATAATTAACCCGAATTCACTGTTCTGATGCGAAATTCGCCGGAACGGCACTGGAATCTATAGTAGGTGACTATGTATTTATCAATAACAACTTGTCATAATTCATAATATCAAAGAATA